GGTTGAGCGCGACCCGGCCTCGTACGCCATCGTCACACTGCGGCCGCTCGAGTTCATCTTCTCGATTGTGCGGGACCAGCGCGACCCGCAGCTGTTTCGCGTCGAGTACTCCACTGGCGCCGTCCGCTCGTACTACAGCACCGACAGGTTCGAGCACAGTGGTGGTGGTGGTGGTGGTGGGTACAGTGAAAGAGGGGAGAGTGAAGGCGAAGGAGAGTTGATGTGTGTGTGTGTGTGTGTGTGCGTATTTGGTGTTGCTTCTGCTGCTCAATTGCACACACGTACACATGCGCACACACGCGCATGCAAGTATGCACACACGTACGCATTCAACACACCCCTTCCTCCTTCTTTTTTTTCGATCTGTGTACAGGGATCCCCTGCTTGCCAGCTTGCTCGATTCCGTCCGCGCGACCGGCAACAAGTGCGTGTGTGTGCAGATGATGCCGACAGACAAGGGTATGTTTCCAACGACGTGGAATGGGTTGCGATTGCATTGAAGCGTGGTGTTGTGTAGGGTATTGTGATGGTGGCAGGTGTTACTCTTCCACGTTTCTTCTCCCGCCAAGTACAACCCAGCAAGAGAGCATTCACATGACCCAACAAATCAGCGTCTTTCCCTGACCTAACCAAAACCTATCATCACAATCACCATCATCATCACCACCATGTAATTGCACCGCCATCAACACCACCATCAACTTCAACATCGTCACCACCAGGGGAGCGGTTCCAGCCGCTGACGTCCGCGCCGGACGAAGAGGTCGAGAGCGCCCTCCTCAAGTTCATCGCATCCCCAAACACGGGTCAGTGCACACCAACAATATTGCCTGCAGGCAACAGTAGGCATGTGTTCGGTGAAACAGGGAGAGGCGGCAATGCGTTTGTGTGTCGCGTGTGCCCGTGTGCGCGTGCACGTGTGTGCGTCTGCCCGTGTGTGCGTGTGTACCTGCAACGTGTTAAGAACACTCAGAGCCACTTGATTCACGAGTCACCACATCAACACTTCCAACCTCTCCCCACTGCGCCATGCCAGGGATGTCGTTTCAGCTTGCCGTTCGCCGTTTCAACGCCAACGTCGACTATGCTGGTCTTGTGCACGCCGTCACTGAGGAGGGATGGTTCAAGGAGAACAAGGTGCGCGCGCACATACACACACACACGCACACACACACACACGCACACACACGCACACACACGCATGCAGTTGCTGTTGTTGTCGCGGTTGTGTTCGCAGTTGTCGCCTTGCCGCACAGTTGCTCGCTTGTTGTCGTCGAATGCACTTCAGTCCATTTTGATGATGTGCTGTGACACGAAACTTCCGCTCACAACCTTCAATTCCATCATCCCCAACCACCCACCACCACTCACGTCGTCACTCGCCCCCCTCCCCTACCGACACCCTCAGGAGAAGTTGATTATGGCGGCGCTGTCAACGCTGTTGAACCAGGGCGACCAGAGCGACTCGCCCGAGCACCTGGCTGGCGAATTCCTCGCCATCCGCCGCCTTGTCGCATCAAAGGCCGGCTTCCACGCCTTTACGCAGCTGCCAAACTTCCGCAAGCAGATTGGGTCCAAGGTGATTCGCGCGCTGCAGCTGAGTAATGACGGCGTGACGTATGCCGCCATGGACATGCTCAGCACACTCATGATCGTGAGTTGGATGCACACGCGCACGCATGCAGTGAATGGTTGCACGCGGGGGGGGGGGGGGAGGGGAAGGCAGGGAGGCGGTGTGTGTGTGTGTGTCGCTATGTGTAATTGTGTGTGTGTGTGCGTGTCGCTGTGTGTAATTGTGTGTGTCGCTGTGTGTAGTTGTGCGTGTGTGTGTAATTGTGCGTGTGTGTGTGTGTGTGTGCACTTCACTTTTGCGATGCCTGCCTCTTGAGTTTGACACAGCCGCTCACCGCCATCAACCCCGTTTCTGTCCTTCTCCCTCCGCCCAAACAGCCGATGCATGACAACTATGACATTGGACAGGAGAAGCTCAACAAGTCGCATCTTCTCGCATCAAAGTGAGCACACATGATGGGCCGCAAACACACCTTTACTGCCGCTGTTGTGGACCCTTTTGTGTGCATTGCTTTCTTCCGCTTTACTCTCGCCTGTTTGCATCACCCAGCTGCCTGATCCTGTCGCCACCGACGCCTCTTCCCACAACCAACCCACGCCCCTCACAACTCACGCTAACAACCACCATCCCATGGCACCAACAACAACAACAACTTAAACAACAACTTAAACAACAACAACAACACCCTCCTCCCCCCCCCCCAATGGGCTAGGTCGTTCCTCGGCAAGCTGCTGCAGCTGTTGAAGCAGCATGCCGATGCGCAGACGGGCGCCCTCGTCGTCTCCATGCTCCTCGACTTCTTTACATTCGCCATCGGCTCTCAGTACAGGTCTGCACACACACGCGCAGTGGATGTTGGAGAGTGACGTGGTTGTTGTGAGGGGGAGGGGGGTTGAGTGTGCATTGGTGAGAGAGAGAGAGTGAGTG